TTAAATCTAGCTCGGTAATTGTTTTCATCAATTTTTCTTTGAATGGTTGCACTAATTGTGGTTGTGCTGATAATTTTTCACCAGATATAGACAGCAGTCGAATTCCATATCTTGTTTTGAATCGTTGAAGCCAGCCATCACTAGCTACGAAATTTTCAGTTTCTTTCAGTTTTTCATTTAACAGTCTCGCTCTCTGTTTAAGTACCTCGCCACTAACTGGGACATGATTTTCCCGTTGTTTTAAAAACCACTTATACAGGGAATTTTCCATTTTAGGTGCCTTTGCATTTTTTAAAGTTTTTCTTTTTCCCGGACCTGCACGTTCTTTGTAAAATTTCAGTTTGCATACGCTTAATTTTACAGATTGTCGCTTCCGATACTCCATATCTTTTTGCTAACTGTGTCACTCCCGCACCTAGTGCAACTTCGTCTATGATTTTCACTTTCTCACTCAACTTTAAACACTTTCTTTTAGAGGATGTGGATACCATAGTCGTAAAATATATTAACGCGTGCAATGTATTCACTTAAGTCGAAAAATGAAATACATACGTACGTATAAACGTATCCTAAACGATCATACGACTGACCGAGTTTGTCGCATTTTATCGCAGAGGTGAATCCCCTACACTGTACATCCCCGACGCCCGACATAAATCATCGAGGCTTCAGCATTTTACCGTCGCGCTGTTTCCGTGCGCCGAGAGTTGTTTATGTTATCGAGCGCACACATTGTTTACGTTATCGCGCGTTCCGTTTGATCCTACAGAACAAAGTTTGTGTTTACATTAGCGCAACTTTTCATTATCCCGTGTTTACGTTATCGAGCGTCTGCAGTAAAAGATGCCAAAGGAAAATTTATACGTTAGACTTCCCATAAAGTGGGCCAGAAAATTCTTCTTTCGATGGGATGTAGCGTTTACCGAGGTTGATTGGTGGCTAAATTAGCAACAATTTTTACTTTATCGGCAAGTAGACCACTTCTACATTAAGCCAGAATCACCAGCCATCTAACGGCACGGCTATTAAACAGGAATTGAGATCCATGACAGTTCCGACTAATAGCAGCGGTGCACGATCCACAATAGTTCGATTCTGGTGCGATAGATGGCTGCTGAATTTTTACTTTACTTTTCTCATCTACGTCGTCGTCAGACAGAGATAAGACAGAGACAGCATCTGTCAAATACCGTAAATGTTGGCAGAACTTTTGTAAAGCTGTTTTCGAAATTCTTTTGTAAGCCTTCATTGTATTTAAAAAGCATAAATTCATTGCAACCACCTTCTAACGTATGCTGCCACGATGAACAAGCAGACATCTAACAGAGCTGCTTTATCCTTATTTTAAAGTTTGAGCTGGAAACTTAGTGATGCTATTTTTAATGGATAGATTGCTCTGGCCATGCATCGATGCATGGTGCCAAGGAATACTATTGAAAGTTCTATTAATCGTCTCTAGCAACTTCTTTTGTCAATTCATGTCTATAAAATTCCAGCAACTTGTCAGTTTCTGAAATATTCCGGCATGATAGCTTTTCAGTATGTCTGTATTTTCTCGGGATCCACACTTTTCCAGCTCTCGCGAAACTTTTTAAACATTGAAATGTCAGGTCTTGTAATCACATGGTCGATCTTCGATTCAAACACGCCTTTTAACACCAATTCGTAGACGTAATGGCGGCAAGCAAACATAAGCATTTCATCATTAAGTTTCTGTTACCGTTAATGCGACCCGTCTTTGAAGCAGTCTGCTCGCTGCCTGAACTATACTATTTGGACACGTCGATAAGTTTCTCTTTATTTTCATACGTTAAAACAATCGACAGACCTACTTCTTTAGACTTGCGTACAAAGGTGGCAAGAATTTGCGATCCCAGTGCACAGTTACAGTATCCGGTTCCTCGCTCTGGAGATCAAGCTTTATAGCTTCTGGTTGATCCTTTCGCTTTTCGGTACGAATTCTTTGAATGAAGGACTTCTTATAGGAAACACGTCAGTGTTATGTCCAAGTGCTTCAATAATCAAAACTGACACCTATTTAATGTTGACACTAATTTTGGAGTTATGAAACTTTTCATCATTTGAGTTTGACCGGTATCAGGCTGTGGGCTTTGAGTTGAGATTGGCAAAGTTTCTTGTAAGTGTATCTCTGAATCTGAAGATGAATTTTCTTGAACTGCTCGTAAGAGACGTCGAAGAATTTTTTACCCCTACTGAGCGGTGCTGTGGCAAATGCTTGTCCTGGATGTTGTTGTATCCAGCATACAACTTCTTCCCGTTCAAGTGATTGTACACGCGTTAAGGAATACCTCAGTACCGATTGCCGGGTGGCGGTACAAGTCCGCCAACGCGCCACTTCAGGTCTATTTAATATCATTAACATGCAAAAAGATGTTGGTAGACAAGAATCAGTCAACCTAGGCGCTAGCTAGTCGGTTATCTTTCAAAACAAACAAATTAATGATGATGGATGCTCGAGCACTAAGAATTCCGGACGTAAACTCACTCCACTTTCGGAATGTCCGGGTGGAGGGTGGGCTCGAGAGAACAACATCCAAGATAAAATTTGTTTCACGAACATCTGTGGGATTAACAGGAACATTGATGCTGTTCATCAGTATACAAGGCCCAGATAAGGCGTAGCCTCGAGTATTGCTCACACGTTTGGGGTGCTGCCGCCCCGACTACATTATTTATGCTCGATGCTGTCCAGAGGACGTTGGTCCGACTGATCGACGACTTTTCTCTAACAGGCAGTCTAGGAAACCTTTCGCACTGGCGGGCCGTCGGCGATCTAGCTCTTTTCTACCGCTACCCCAACGGGCTTTGCTCCGCAGAGCTCTCTTCCATGATGCCGCCGCGCGATGTGCCTGCCAGGAAGACCCGCCTGACTTTGGCGTCCCATCCTAACCGTGTCGAACTTCGTACATCCAGAACTGGCCGATACGACCGCTCCTTTATCCCGAGGGTGTCGAGGTTGTGGAACAATCTACCAGAGGAAGCTTTTCCCAGTTCTCCTAACCTTAGGCAGTTCAAACCCAGCTAAATGACCAGGTCGATCTGGTTCTCTCTGCCGCTTCGAAAAGATCCTATCTTCCTTGATTTCAATCAATAGTACGGAATAGTCCAGTTGGCGCTCTCATTGACACTTAGTTTCACTTCTCGGATATTATAAAACAAAACTGTCAGTACTTATCCAGAGAGGGAAGATTTGAACCGATAATTTGATGCTTTACGGCCCATATTAAAAATACTGCCTAGTTAGAACTGCGTAATTCCTTCGACATGTTGACTGAACAAAAACAGTGCAGTTACTAATATACTAAGTGACATATAAATCCGAACACCCAGTTTAAATGGTTTTATTTTAATAAAAGTTGGTGAATGTTGACGGATTTTGGTTCTTGACATCCTTTACGATCGGTTACGATGCCTAGAGTGCGGAGACCTGTACGATTTCGTCAACTTAGTGAGTTTGATGGGGGCCGTATAGTGGGACTTCGGGAAGCTGGACTTTCTTTTCATGCAATTGCAGTTAGAGTGCAAAGAAGTGTAGACACTGTGGTTATGTGTTGTCAGGCATGGCTTCGAGAAGGCCGTACGCAAAAAGCAAGGGGCACTGGACGCCGCCGTAGAACAATAGACCGTGAAAATCGCCGCCTAAGATTATTGGCCTTAAGGGACCGTTTCTCCACTACCAGGTCCATTGCAAATGAATGGTTTGCAGAACACGGAAGACCTATTGGCATGCGAAGTGTTTACCGACGAATGAGAAGTTTTGGCTTGTTTTCATACCGGCCAGACCGGGTCCTCCCTTTAACTCGAGAACACCGGCGTAATCGCCTTGAGTGGTGCAGACAACGGTCACTCTGGGATCAGGAATGGAACAGTATTGTCTTTAGTGACGAGTCTCGATTTTGTTTAGGCATACACAATGGTCGTGCCAGGGTTAGAAGGCGACGTGGTGAAAGGAGGAATCCACAGTTTTTTGTTGAAAGACATGTTCATCACACTGTTGGAGTTATGGTTTGGGGTGCTATAGCTTATGGTTCCAGGTCACCTTTAATCTTCATCGGAGGTAACATGAACGCGCAGCGTTATATCCACGAAGTTCTAGAACCCCATTTTTTACCCTATCTTGACACCCTGGCTGATCCAACTTTCCAACAAGATAATGCCCGACCACATGTTGCAAGAGTCACAATAGACTTCTTTCAACATAATGATGTCACATTGTTACCATGGCCACCAAGATCTCCCGACTTATCCCCAATTGAACACGTGTGGGATATGATGGGTAGGAGATTGCTCAATTTGCAACGTCCTCCTCAGACTCTAGAAGCACTTCGAGAGGAGTTGGTGGTTGCCTGGAATGAGATACCACAGGAGGACATTAACCACCTGATCAGAAGCATGCCTAGGCGCGTTGGAGAATGCGTAGCACATCCGGGTGCATCCACACATTATTAAAGGTCAAAGGGCTTTAAAGCAGTGCAATCATTTTGAAATTTTTATTATTTACTTATTATGCTTCATTAAGTACTTATACAAAATTTTATTAAAATAAAACCATTTAAACTGGGTGTTCGGATTTATATGTCACTTAGTATAGAACAAACGAGCACTGCAATTCGTTAGCTAGCGCGCGCCTGATATGCAAGTTTTGATATGTTCAAACGCAACTCGGCGCAAGTTGCCCTGGTTCTAGGTACTTAACACTTTATTTACAATTGTTCTGACATTGTTCAAGCAAAATTAGAGGGTATGCGTTTGAAAAAAAGAACTTTCATTGCTTTGGAACATCCTAGTCTTAAGTTAATTTAATCTAAGTTAAGTTAATCTAATTGCTTCAATTTTGTAAAAAAAAGACTTTACTTACTTACTTACTTCTTATAACAGAAACGTCAAAAATATTCGGTTTCAGTTAATAGCTAGTGATGAAAACCATCCAATTAGTATCGTTCAAAAATCGGAATAGATTTTTAATTTCGATATTCCAGGACTCGGAAGCATACAAAACAGCCCGGATTGAAACAATGGAAGCTTGTCTGGAGCTGTTGAGCAGCCTTTCTTCAGAAAAACTGTCGCCTTTAGCGACAATCTTAAAGCAAGGAGCAGTGCTGCTTGTCGGGGCCCAAGACGAAAAAATCAAGAAAGCTGCAGAAGGACTTTTGCAAAGGATGAACATTTCTTATATCGATCACGATAATTACTAAATTCGCTTTTGATGTTTTTGCTGTGTAAATTGTAAGTTTCCAGGGTACAAGTGGTGAGCAAACGACTATAAAAAATCACCTTGAGACTCTCGACTATTGATAATTGAGATTTGATGGTGACTTACTCAAGAATTGTACCAAACCTTTTGTTTCAACCGCTTACTTTGGTTATGCATTAAAAACGCATTATAATATGCGGAAAAACTATACTAAAAGACAGCGAAGAATTGTCTAACGTACAGGGTGCTGCATCTGTTGAATTTAATTATACATGGTGATCATCATATACAGGGTGTTCAAAAAAGATTTGTCAAAAACTATTTGACCTCCTTTTACCCTCTGCCGCCCCAGAGTCATCCCCTTAAACATTTTAAATTACAAAGGGGTATCGATTATTAGCTTGTTTGAAAGATCTGTCTAAGTCCTTTATTTTGACGGATAGAAAACAGAACACGAAGATATCACTTTTTATTTCAGTACGTGTTCAAAATGCTGCGCGTTATTGACCAAACAATGACATAGGCGATGCTCAAATTTCTGACGGACATCTTCAAAAACACGTTGTGGGATATCATGGCAGCTTTCGTTGATGTATTCGCGAAGTTTATCTTAAGGTTGGGGAGTAAACACAATAGATTTCAAATGGCCCCATAGAAAAAAGTTTATTGACGTCAAATCAGGAGATCTAGCAGAATGATTGATACTGGAAGGTAATGTCCCAGCAAGAAATTATAGATAAAAGGTATACTTTATCTGAAGTCACTTGAAACACTGTGAAATACCGGGTGCGTTTTATATATCTATATTTAACACGCTCTGTTGCTGCAAAAATCGCCAAATTTCGCAGCAAATATCCCCCGTATAAGATCAAAGGCAGTTTCACCGGTCCACGTGGAGTAAAGCACGCCTATGCGTGGACATAGCCAATGAGAAAGCGTGTATTTCAGAGCTCCGAACAAGTGCAGGTGGCTACTGAAAATTGAAACAGTTTAGCCAGTGCCGTGTAGCGGTGAATAAACGTGTATTCTTTAGTCTGTCCGTGTTTTTTCATAGATTTTATTAGTTTGTGTGTTTTTGACTTTTGAATACTCAGTTTACTTGTTGATTTAATTGTTGTGTTGATTGTTCTTGTGTGTCCTAAATATGGCTCTTAAGAGACCTTGGGAAAATGCTCCAAGCCACGAGGAGATGGTTGATGAACCTGTGCAGGCAGAATTCTTTCATAAAGATTTAGAGGAACAGACCCAAAGAGTAATCCTAAATATGTATGATTGTCTGAAAAACGAAAATCCAGATTCCTCGCAAAATCAAATTTTAAACAGAATTTGTATCCTAACAAAAATCAGTCGGTCTATAAAAAGAGATGTAGTCAACCATTCCTTCCACAGAAAGCGCATAGGGCAAAAATTAAAAAGAATAGACGTGGGTTTTCAGGAAGATATTCGTCGTATAATATACGGATTTTATAAAGCAAATTTGGTGCCCACGTTGGAAATGATACGGGATAAATTAAAAGATTATCCTGAAGATCTTTATAATTACAAATGCTTAGACTCACTGCACTGTATTGTAAAACTGTGTGGTTTTCAATACAAAAAAATAGATAAAAGAATGGTGATTATGGAGTCGTCTCGAATCGTTGAATTGCGCCAAGAATTTTTGCACAAAGTTAAAATCTATAGAGAGCAGAAAAGAAATCTGATTTACCTGGATGAAACGTGGTATGATACCCATGATGTTGTGCAGTACGGCTGCGTTGACGACAGCAACAAGTGCATTTTAAATGCACCATGCAACCGTGGAAAACGAATCATTATTCTCCATGCTGGCAGTGAAAATGGATTTATACCTAATGCCTTGCTGTTATCTGCCAAAAATATCAAAGAATCATGTGCCGACTATCATGAGGTCATGACCTCTGACTTATTTGAAAAGTGGATAGAGCAGCAGTTAATACCAAACATTTCCCCAAATTCAGTGATTATTATGGACAATGCGCCATACCATTCCCGACAGAAAAACAAAATTCCGAATACAGGCACAAAAAAACAAGACATTAATGATTTTATGAAGGATAAGGGAATGGAAATACCACAAAAATCAACCAAAGCCATATTATTGGATCTTATTAAAAGACAAAAATTTGAAAAAGAGTATGTTGTTGACAATCTGCTTCAGCAAAATGGCCATGAAGTATTACGTCTACCTCCCTATTACTGCATTTTTAACCCGATTGAGTTGGTCTGGGCTGCTTTAAAAAAAAAGCAAGAAAACATAATCAGACCCCTCAATTAAGTGAATCGCTATTGGCCACAATAAGAGATGCAGCATCTCATATTGCTGCCACAGACCTATGGAAGCAGTGTTCTAGGCATATTATTGAAAAAGAAAATGAATATTGTGTTTTGCCTCCTGTAAATCCCGTTGTAATTCCTCTACAAGATGACTCTAGCGACAGCTCCGAAGGCGAGGATGATATATAAATACCTATAATGTAAGTCTTTATATACCTTTTTAAATACCTACCTGCTATGTAAATATTTGCCTATGTCAAACGTTGGAATTCTGTAATTTTTCCATTTCTTAACTTTCAGTCAACATAAATTAAACTCCCAATATAAGTATTTTTTATCCAAAAAAATAAGAAGATAGTAAAATCCATTTATTGTTCTAAATAAATGACCGCACGCCTATGATACGTCATGAAATTACAAAGGGCGCGCCGACCAAAGGTTTTTATGCTATTTCAAGTGACTTCAGATAAAGTATACCGCATTCTATAGAGGCGCGTGGCTTGGTTGCCTCCAGTGGCGGTGGGTTATTGCTGTTGATCAGGTGTAGACTTAATTAAATTCCCAATATGGCGTGATTTTCAAAGCAGATTACATCTTTATTTGTAATATATTTCCAGGCTTGTGAAAAGCAAAATATTTCTTTCAAATTTCAATATTCAGGGAGAAGCAGGTTGTTTGATTAACTCTGATATGGTAGGTTGGATGTTTGGTATTGAATAGACAAACCGTAAGTACTAGGCTACCGAACATAATTACGTTTGGAAACTGAACATTCTCATCTAAAATATCAATATGAAAAACGTTTACTTTACGAAATTAGCGCTGGCTATTTATTCTTCTTGCAACTAATTTCATTAGCTCTGAAAAGTATTTCACCAGTATTCAGTTTAACCACTTTCCGTGTCTATACAAAACTGCTTTCTGGTCTACATGCTTCTTACTGTGTAGACATACTGAATGAGTAATCAGGGGAGCAGAAACACTTCGTTCTGCGACCTGTCTTTATGTGGAGCGTCCCTCTTTTTTCCTGTATAATTTATTGCCGGTTTATTTCCTTCATCTCCTCTACCGCAGTCTGACCAAAAGCTAAACATACACGGTAATGTTTAGCGAAAGGACATGCGATAAACAGGTTACAATAACAATAAGAGTTTTGAGCGTAGCAACTAGAATTCTAAGAGAAATTTTACCCTTCAAAACACTTTAAGGAGTGTGTATATTTCGTATTTTCAAGTGTTGTGTTCTGAAGATTTAAAAATAGGAAAATCGATATATCGTTATCTTAAAAATCACCGCAAATCCTTCCACTCCCAAATCTGCCGTTGGCAATAAAGGAATCATCAACTTGAGCATTTTATAGACCAATTGCGTATGCTGGGAGATTTTAGGTACGAATGCGCGTCGTGTATCGGCGGAGTGTGGGTAGAGACAGTTGATTATGATTTGTTCACCAAAATATTCATACAGATCATATTGTGGCAGAATCATGAATCTGAATATCCATAGTAGTTAAGCAGTCTGCTGAGTATATTATTAGCGTGTATGTCCAGCTTTACATCCACCCTTCAACTGGATAGATACACCCACACACATGCCGGTATACAATAGGTTTTTTAGTTTATAATTTACTGCCTGGCGGCGACCAAGATATCCAAATAAAGGGAAGAAAGGTTACAGGCGGATGGTTCACCTGAATGGGTTCCCTACTTTTAATTTTATTGATTTCAACTGAGTAATGCGTAGCTTGGCATGTCATAGAGCAATTGAGTTTATACAGGGTAATACATATTATTATTTTTTCTGTCTAGACGATATATGATAAATAGCATTTTCTGGAAAATAGGCTTGAAAAATAGAGGGCTTTAGCGTTCCACCCATTGGCGATAACCCACCTGTCGTTCTGGTTTCCTTGACATTGTGCAATATCAGTAACTACTATACTGATTCTAACAGAGGTTGGAATGGATTATTGTTCGACCACAAGTTTGAAAATGATTGTAAGAGCGCTAAACTTAGTAACCAGAAAAGAAAGCAGATTTTCCAAACTGTGTGCAATCACAATCACTTTGTTTTTTGTAAGTTCGTATTTATTTTTCAGGTAGCATGAATAATGTAGACTGAAGAGTATAAAATTAAATAAAGGAATGGAACATCACATCTATTTTCTCGCAATATACTTGAACGATCTACTTTGGAAACGTTTGGCAATAATCATTGACGTAGAATGCAAAACTAAATAACAAATTCGTATCGTATTTTCTTCTTTTTGGTACTACCCAGTCATGAATCACGAAAATTTAGTTGTTCAATAAAGAGTTCCCGCACGATGTAACTTTAAACTAACAACTTTTTAGGAGAGCATAAAAGAACGGTGGGCCTTTGGAGTCGCTATCGAATGATCTTATAATCCTCCATGTTTGTCTAGTCGAAAATGAAACCTCATAAGCTAATAGTACCTACTGATGACATTCCGGCAATCACGGTGGCTTTTTTAAGCAAATACATAAGTTATTCTTTGCGTTTAGTGGTGTTACAACTTAAGCGACGATGGCTCAAATTCCAAATATGTTAGAATAACAATAGTCGCCTTTACATCATTAGCGGAGCATCGAAATGTTAGCACCCCACTTCCTGCTAGTTTCGCAACACGTAAAACAATCCAGTGTTCTGCGGTCAACTACCTTCATTCGTGGATGTTTACCTTCCTGCTGACTAGCTGCTATATCACAGACATCGCAGGTGAACTGCATGTAGGATTTGGTTTATCACAATGTAATTTCAGACACCTGGCCAAAAACTATTTTAACGACGGAGTGACGCTACTCTTCTATAGTCCTATCATTTCGCCACTACTTGCTTAACCACCTTAGGCGCTAATGCGACGTTGTAGTTCAGTATTTTGGGAGGCCAGAAGATGAAGGAGGTATATGCAACTTCGATGGCTAATTTTTGTACCCAGCTTGAGTAAATTTAGTAACAATGTCCAAAACATACCTATGCGGGTGTCTGGCATTAAACGTGATGGCGAGCACATTGATTTTCTGCACCATAAATTAGAATCAATTCCACTCTTTCGGCTAGTGTGTAAGCCAATTTGGAACTAAGAGTCAATAAATTAATTTTCACTATCAAAAGATTGTTACAACAATAACTGATAGCAAATTAAATTATTTCTTTCCCTTAGCAACAAATAACTAAACAGCTATAACAATAAATACAGTTCGTCCAAAATATTTGTGTTGATGAAAATAATGCGGAAAAAATTCGGGTTGTTATTTAGTTGTTGCCACGTCTGATCTTCCGAATTGCCGTTTATGTTGGTAGTTTCCGTTTTAAATTTAAAACGAATTGTAGATTTGGCAACATT